GTCAATATACTGCTATAACTGTTTTTGAATTATCTTCAGTAAGATTTTACTTGCATGTGATATTAATGATATTGTTGGATAATTTCCACATTCTATGGGATCACCTTTCTTTGGAATGGGTACAAATATGGATCTCTTCCAGTCAGTTGGCCAGGTAGCTGCTTTCCAAATCTCTTGTCATAACCGAGTGAGTGCCTCCAGCAGGGCATCCGTATGTTGAAACATCTCAATGAGTATTCCTTCAATTCCTGGAGCCTTGTTCCTCACCAATTCCCTCAGCACAGCTTCGACTTCTTCCCTCAATATCATTGGTTCTTGAACATATGCCACCTCCTGAAATGGACGAAGATTGACCAGTTCTTTTTGGTACAGTGACTCTGTGTATTTCTTCCATCTTCTTTTGATGCTTCCTGCATCATTCAATATTTTGCCCGTAGAATCTTTTAATATTGTAAATTGAGGCTTAAATTTTTTCCTCAGTTCTTTCAGCTTGAGAAATGCCGAGCATGTTCTTCCCTTTTGGTTTTTTAACTCCAGGTCTTTGCACATTTCATTATGGTGATTGGCTTTGTCTGCTTGAGCTGCTATTTGAATCTTCTGTTCAGCTCTTTTATCTTGTCATTTCGTCCATTTGCTTTAGCTATTCTTTGCTCAAGGGCAAGTTTCAGACTCTTCTGACATCCATTATGGTCTTTTCTTTCTTTGTTGTATTTTTAATGACCTCTTGTTCTTCATGGATGATGTTCTTGATGTCATCCCACAATTCTGGTTTTTGGTCATTGGTGTTAATTACATCAAATCTATTCTTTAGATGGTCTCTACATTCAGGAGGGATATATTCAAGATCATATTTGGGCTCTCATGGACTTGTTTTAATTGTCTTTAACTTCAAGTTGAACTTGCATATGAGCAGTTGATGGTCTGTTCCACAATCAGCTTCTGGCCTGGTTTTGGCTGAAGATATTGTTTGTGTTGCTGAAAAAAGGTATTTGCAATGAATGAATTGTTGGTCTTGCAAAATTCTATCATGCTATCTCCAGTGTTATTTCTGTCACCACGGCCAAATTTTTCAACTACTGGTGATTCTTCTGTTTCCAACTTTTACATTCCATTCACCAGTGATAAGCAACACATCTTGATTGCATGTTTGGTCAATTTCAGACTGTAGAAGTTGATAGAAATCTTCAATTTACTCATCTTTTGCTTTGGTGGTTGGTGCATACATTTGAATAGCACTCGTATTAACCGGTCTTCCTTGTAGGCATATGGATATTTTCCTATCACTGACAGCACTGTACTTCAGGAGAGATCTTGAAACATCCTTTGTGATGATAAATGCCACGCCATTCCTCTTCAATTTGTCATTTCCAGCACAGTAGATCATACGGTTGTCTGATTCAAAATGCCCCAAACCCATCCATTTCAGCTCACTAATGCCTAGGATGTCAATCTTTATGCATCCCATTTCATTTTTGACAACTTCCAATTTTCCTAGATTCATACTTCATACATTCCATGTTCCAATTATTAATGGATGTTTACAGCTGTTTCTCCTCAATTTGAGTCATGCTACTTCAGCACATGGAGGTTCTGAAAGAATTACTTTATCCTATCATTATGGTTGGTTCTACTCTAATGAAGCAGTTCTTTCCCAGTCCTTTTTGAGTCCCTTCCAACCCAAGGGGCTAGTCTTCCTGCACTGTGTCAGACAATGTTTCCAAGCTATGCATAAAGTTACCCAGTTATGTACCTGACAGTGTTTCTCTGCTATTTATAAGGTTTTCCCTGGTCAATTTTTGAGAAGTGGATGGCCTCCTCCTTCTTCCTAGTCTTAGTCTGTAAGGTACATTGAAACCTATGCACCATGTGCAACTCTGCTGGCATCTGAAACACCAGTGGCACAGCCTCAAGCCTCACAGCAATGTACAAACCTCACAGGATGACAGAGTGACAGACAAGTTTGTCTCCCTTAGCTGTTGGAAACCTCTGCACCCTCCTCTTACCTAATTCCTACCTGAAACCTGCCACTCTGTGGCCCCCGGCTGCTCCTGGTCCCTCCCTTTCCTGGCTCTAGGGGGCTTGGGGCCTAGCCTTGCCTCCTGCCCCCTTTTACCTTGATATCCTGCCACTCCTAAAGACACTGAGGCCACACCTGGTCCTTCCATTTCCTGGGCTCTATAATTTCCTGGCTCAGTAATTTATATTTTCATCTGTATACAGTTCCCTCTATTTTCTTTAGGTTTATTTTATTGGTTTTTTTTCTTACTTTTCTAAAGTATATCCTTCTTTCACTTACTTTTAATCTTTCATATTTTCTAAGAAACGAATTTAAGATTGTATTAGCATCAAGATGTAAATGCACCCACTCCGCACTTATTGACATAGCTAGGTTCCAAAGACAAAGGTGTTATGCAAAAATTGGCATTTTGTGAAAATGGAGGATGACCAAATCAGATCACAAAATGGAAGATGATGACATCATTATATAATTGCCAAACCAATGAGAAATATGGCCCAGCCAAGTTGACACATAACTTTAACCATCACAGCCAGCATTCTCCCACATTGCAACTTCATGTTCGTTATTGCCCAATGTATGTCAATAATATGAAAAATAGTCAGCTAGCAGATTTTTTACTATTGTTATAAATGCAAAATGTTGGATAACAAGGTAGTTGATAAGTGACGAGTAGATGTATTGATCCACAGTTATTTTATTGATATTTATTTCTAAATAATAAGTTTTCTCTTTTGATTTCTCCTTTAATTCAAAAATTGTCCCAAAATATTTTTAAAATTTCCATGTGACTTTTTGTTAGTTAAAAATGCTTAGTGTTATTTTCTAGGTTTTTTTTTTTTTTTTTTGTATTAGAATCATGGAATCTAGACTGTTATTTATTCCTATTAAAATATACGTGCATTTAAAAAAATGATCTACAAATATTTGAAAAGCCTAGTTATTCTCTGTTGTCATATATACACACACACACACACACACACACACATATGGTAGCACAGTGCCTAAGGCATTTGACTGCTATCCAGAAAAGGATGGTGGTTCAAACCCAACAGACATTCTATGGAAGCAAGACTGGTCAATCTACTCTGTAAAGATTTACCACCTTAAATAGGGGTCCTATGAGTTGGAATAGACTCGATCGCAATTTTTTTATTTTAATATACAAAATATATGTTTATTAAATTAAGCTGGATAACTGTGTTATTCCAATAATTTATATACTCTTTAAGTTTCCGATTACGATTGTGTATCTGCTCATTTTTGCTCATATTACAAGAGTTCTGGTTTTGCTATGTAATGACTGTTACACTCTCCTGATGGATTATATATTTCTTGGCTTTGTTTAGGAAGCCCCGGTGGCACAGTGGTTAAAGTGCTCAGCTGCCAACCTAAAGGTCAGTGGTTTGAGCCTACCAGCCACTCTGTGGGAGAAAGTTGTGGCACTCTGCTTCTTTAAGGATTTACACCCTTGGAAACTTGATGGACTAGTTCTACTCTGTCTTTACAGGATCACTATGAATTGCAATTGACATGATGGCAACACGTGGTTTTGTTTGGCTTTGTTTAATTAATGCTTTTTTTTGCCTTGAATTCTGTAGTATTTTGTTATTTGGATTCAGAGTCCAGGATTATCTTTAACAGAAATTTTTTACAAGGTTTTCCTAGCTTCTAATCACAGTCATACTATAATCAACCTAGAAATCTCAAGACTGCTTTAGGATTAAAAGTATTTGCTGTCACTTTAAATTTTGTCAGTTTTATACCTGTCAATGGCTTGAAGATCATTGGCTGGATTCCAAGTAGGGTCAAATAATACAACAACATTGGCACCAACAAAATTGAGGCCTAGTCCACCAGCCCTGGAGGAAACAGAAAAGAGTATATTAAAACTGCAAAAGTTAACTGCTGTGTTATAATTCAATTGAATCAGGTTTCTATAGCCTGAACATACAATATTAAATTAACATCATAAAAGTAAGGTGAATAAAACAAAAAAATCTGCCACAAATGGAATATCTATGGAATGTTTTCCAGCACTCTGGGAAATCCCTAAAAAAAAATGAACATTAGAGTCCATGTAAGTAGATTGTGCTGATTTTTACAGATTTCTGGATATTCAAATACTATTATGCAAGATTTATCTGACATAATTTTTTTAAAAAACAAAAACTACTAATATATTCAAGTTAAATAAATAATACACACATTTAATAGTTCAATACAGAAGTAGACATTGTTCTATTTCTTCTGCTTGTTGTTGTTGTTATGTGCCGTTGAGTCGGACCCGACTCATAGCAACCCCTCCTTGGGTTTCCGAGGCAGTATCACTATGGAAGTAGATTGCCCCATCTTCCTTCCGAGGAGTGCCTTAACATTATATATAAAATAAAAACAAAAGTATTCTGAAAAGTGGAAAGAAGACAGACCAGGTAGCATACAGAGGACCAAAGGAATGTTATGGTAGTGAGTTCTCTGGCTTTCTTTCACCCAATAAATCCCAGACAGGGTTCTGGGGAGGACAGCAAACTGGAAATGCCAACAGGCCCAGCTAAAAAAAGCCATCTCCCTTTGCATAAAGAACCAGGAAAGACTCACCCTAGAAAAATGTTACACAATAACTGTCTTATTCTTCTCAAACATCACAGAAAAACTGATGGCCCCAACTGGATTTACATATCCACCCGGCTGTCATGCTATTATAAGAGATTACTAAAAATAAAATTGATAAATGTCAGTCGAGTTGGATCTGACTCATACCGACCCCTCCTTGGATTTCTGAGGTGGTATCACTATGGAAGTAGATTGCCCAACCTTCCTTCCAAGGAGATGCTGGTGGGTTTGAATCGCCAGCCTTCTGGTTAGCAGTCAAATGCCTTAGGAACTACACCACCAGAGCTCCCAAGAAGAGACTACTAAAACATAAGATTTTAAATAAGATATGCAATCTCATAATACTTGGAATGTCCAGGATGTAATTAAAAAAATCAGTTGTCATGCCAAAAATCAGGAAAATCTCAAACAGAATAAGAAAAGACAATCAACATATGGTAACGCTGAGATGAATCAGATGTTGCAATTATCTGACAAGAATTTTAATGCAGCCATCATAAAAGTGCTTCACCAAGAGATTACAACATATTTGAAACAAATCTTAAAAAATAGAAAGTCTCGGCAAGAAAGAAAAACACCCAACTGAAAACTGTACAACTTAAAAATACAATAAATGAAAAACAAACAAAGAATAACTTGTTGGACAGGCTCAATAATAGAGAGAATGACAGAAGACAGAATCAGTTTATCTAAGCACACATTAGTATCTTTTGCTGACTATAAACAGCAGAGAGAAAACAGATGAAAAAGAAAAAAAAAAAAAAAACATGAACAGAGGGACAATGGCAAAACAGCTAACATTCATATCACCAGTGTTCTAGAAGGAAAAGAGAGAGGACAGAAAAAGTATTCAAAGAAATATGGCTGAAAATTCCCAAATCTGGTAATTCTACAGATTGTAAAAGGTGAATACCCCAGCAGGATAAACCCAAAGAAATCCACACCAAGACAAATCATAATTAAATTTCTGAAAACCAAAGACAAAGAAACATTCTTTAAAGCAGACAGATATAAAGGATACACTAATTATAGGGGAATGCCAATCTGAATGAAGAAACCATGGAGGACAAAAGAAACTAGAATGACATTTTCAAGTGATAAAAGAACTGTCAACCCAGAATTCTACATCCAGTGCAAACATCTTTTAGGAATAAAAGGGAAATTGTAAGATTCTCAGATGAAGGAAAATTATAAGAACACATCACCAGCATATTCCTAAGAGAATAGCTAAAGACAGTTCTTGCAATGGAAAAGAAATAATAAAAGAAGGAATATTGGGAACATCAGGAAGAAAAAAAGAACAATGGGAAATACAAAAATGTGGGTAATGCTTTCTCCTACTGAGGTTTGTAAATGATGTTTGATGGTGGAACCAAATATTATAGAATTGTCTGATGTGATTTTCAAAGTATGTAGAGGAAATATTTAAGACAATTATATTATAAATGGAGGAGGGTGAAGAGTGTTAAAGGGTGGCAAGGTGTCTACACTTTACTTGTACTGGTAAAATGTAGCCTGTGGTAAGTTGTAGATGTATAAAGTAAAACCTAGAACAACCACTAAAAATTCTATATAAAGAGACACACTAGAAAACACTATAGATTAATCAAAACTCTAAAAATGGTTCAAGTAACCCATGTTTGTTTGTTTGTTTGTTATGTGCCGTCGAGTCGGCCCCGACTCATAGCGACCCCTCCTTGGGTTTCCGAGGCAGTATCACTACGGAAGTAGGATTGCCCAACCTTCCTTCCGAGGAGTGGCTGGTGGGTTTGAACCGCCAGCCGTCTGGTTAGCAGGCAAGTGTCTTAGCCACTATGCTACCAGAGCTCCCCAAGTAACCCATAGTCAAGAAAAAAAAAAAAGAAAAAATACAGAGAGAACAAACAGAAAACAAAAATGGAAGGGACCTAGAATAAAATAATTCCACAACACTTCATTGTGCTCATGAGGAACCTGTACAGACCAAGAGGAAGTTGTCAGAACAGAACAAAGGGATACTATATGTTTTCAAATCAGAAAAGGTGTGCAACAGGGTTGTATCCTTTCACCATACTTACTCAATCTGTATGCTGAGATAATAATCCAAGAAGCTAGACTATATGAAGAAGGCATCAGGATTGCAGGAAGATTCATTAACAAAATGTGATAACACAATCTGGCTTACTGCAAGTGAAGAGGACTTAAAGCACTTGCTGATGAAGATCAAAGATTATAGCCTTCACTATGGATTATACCTCAATATAAAGAAAACAAAAATCCTCACAACTGGACCAATGATACTGCAAACTGGACCAATAAGCAATGATAAATGGAGAAAAGATTGAAGTTGTCAAGGATTTCATTTTCTTGGATCCATAATCAACGCCCATGGAAGCAGGAGTCAAGAAATCAAACAATGTACTGCACTAGGCAAATCTACTGCACAGACCTCTTTTAAGTGTTTAAAAGCAAAGGTGTCACTTTGAAGACTAAAGTGCACCTGACACAAGCCATGGTATTTTCAATAGCCTCATATACATGTCAGATCCAGACAGTGAATAAGGTAGACTGCAGAGGAATTGATGTGTTTGAATTGTGGTGTTGGTGAAGAATACTGAATATAGTATGGACTGATAGAAGAACAAATAAATCTCTCTTGGAGGAAGTACAGCCAGAATGCACCTTAGAAGAGAGAATGGAGTGGCTTCATCTCCCATACTTTGGTAATACTGTCGGGTGGGATCAGTACCTGGAGAAGGATATCTATCATGCCAGGTAGAAGGTTTGCAAAAAAAGGAGAAGACCCTAAATGAGATGGATTGACAGTGACTGAAATAATGGGCTCAAGAAGAGCAACAACTGTGAAGATGGCTCAGGACCAGGAAGTGTTTCATTCTGTTGTACACAGGGTCACTGTGAGTCAAAACCAACTTGACAGCACATAACAACTACAGCAGCAGAATGCTAACCAGAAGGCTGGTGGTTCAAACCCACCAGCTGCTCCTCGTAAGGAAGACTAGGCAACCTACTTCTGTAGCGGTATCACCTCTGAAACCCAAGGAGGGGTTGCTATGAGTCAGATCCGACTCAACAGTAGTGAGCTTGATTTTTCGGTTTGGTAAGTGATATATAAACCAATCACAATGAATTAAATGGATCCTCACTCAAGCAAACTACAGAGAAAAAAACTGTGAGATAATAGAGGAAATATGAACGCTGCTTTGATATTTGCTAATATTAAGAAATTATCCTTAATTTATTAAGAAATTATCCTTAATTTTTTTAAATGTGATAATAGTATTATGGTTTTATTATGAAAAAGAGGACCATATCTTATAGAGACATACACTAAAACATTCATGGATGAAATAAAAATAATTCAGTCCATTCACTGAGTGCTTTTAAAACTATAAACAAAATGTTATTCTTTTGAAATTCTTAGAACTTGCAAATAAATATATTAAACATTAAATGTTGTATAATACTGGGAATTCTGAGCTGTATTAGAATACAATAAAAGAAAACCCCAAAAAACCCAAAACAGTTGTTGTCAAGTAGATGCCAACATGCCAACACCACACACAGAGTAGAATTGCATTCCATAGGGTTTTCAAAGCGTCAACCTTTTGGAAGCAGACTGCCAGGCCTTTCTTCTGAAATCCCTCTGAGTAGGTTCACACCACAACCTTTCAGTTAGTCTAGTGTTTAACCATATATGGCTGGCAAGGACTCCTGTGGTTAGAACAGTTAGTTGGTAGGTGCTGTCAAGTAGATTTCAACTGTAGTGACTCCATGTGGCAGGGTAGAACTGACCCACAGGGTTTTCTAGGTAGTAATTTTTGCAGAAGCAGTTCATAAAGGCTTTTTCTCCCATAGAGCTGCTGGGTGAGTTAGAACTGCCAACCTTTTCATTAGCAGCTCAATGCTTTATTAACTACAGTACCACCAGAGCTCTTTATACTCACTGATCATAAGGACCGACCATCAATACTATCTAGTTAACTAACTCCTCAATATATGCACATTTTAACCCACATCACCAAAACAACAATATAATATATCATAGTAGGCGGTTTATTTCATTTAAAATGAGGCTCCTTACTGACATGTTATTTTTTAACTGACTCCATATTTTCAGAAGAAAATCAATCTTGGCAGTCTGAAGTCTAAAAGAAACATGTAAGATATTTTTCATTATTTTCAGTAATAAAAAAAAAAACTAAAAATCTCTGATTTTTTGATAGTAAAATTGGTCCTGAAAAGTTGATCAAAGTAAAAGAAAAGTAACAAATAAGCAGATGTTATACCAAAATGGATATGAGTTCCTATTAGACTCAGCAATAAAAAGCTAATGCAAACCGTAACATTTTATAGTGAACAAAAGTTTTCTTCTAAAATTTTAGGAATGTGGGTAAAGAGGTAAGATGACCAAGATAGTAATAAGATTTGATTCAAGGGAAAGGGGGCATGACATTTCAAAATAGCAACTTTTTATTTCTATTGGCAATGTAGTAAGGAAAATGAAAAAGCTAAAAGAGAGTTATAGCATTTCCAGGAATGGAAATCATGAGATACTTAAAACACAGTAAGACTTACTGATAAACATAAAGTTAGTTATCTATGGAGGGTCTGGATCATAAAATTTGAACAGGCGAAGGTGGGAAGGCACTGTCAATGTTAACAAATATTTCTTACGAATATAGTTCTCAAAAATTTAAAGGTGTTATCACGACCCGTTGCCATCGAGTTGATTCCGACTTATAGAAATCCTATATGACAGAGTAAGGTTCCCAAGACTTTAATCTCTAAGGAAACAGACTGCCACATCTTTCTCCAATGGAGTAGTTGGTGGGTCTGAATCACTGACCTTTTGGCCAGCAGTCCAGTTCTTAATCACTAAGACACCAGGGCTCCTGATATCAAGACATTCATTTTAAAATTATTCTGTGTATAAATATTAGTAAATGGAAATTTAATTTAAAATTTGATCCTGAAATTTAGATATCCTGCTCCAAAGTTGTGCTATTATCTATCTCAAACACATGGTGTAAATTATGTAGCTGACTTCTGCTTGAAATGCAGATTTTAAACATGAATTTCTGAACTTTAAGTACAACTCCTTTATTAAAATACATGGACACAAATAGCTTTAAACCAATAAATACAGTAATATTTGGGGAAGGGGAGACAGCTAGAAATAAATGACCATGGAACAATTTAATAAATTTAATTAATAAACATTTAATGAATCTTTTTATCTTTCATCAACTCATCAGGTAGTATCCTGAATACTGGCAATATCCTGAATACATACTACCCCATCCTATATTCAACCCAGCATCCAAGTGTATTTAGGCTTTATATAATGCCTAAGGCACTTAACTGCTAACCAGAAGGCTGGCGGTTCAAACCCACCAGCCACTCCTTGGAAGGAAGATGGGGCAATCTACTTCTGTAGTGATACTGCCTCGGAAACCCAAGGAGGGGCCGCTATGAGTCGGGTCCGACTTGATGGCACATAACATAACATAACATAATATAACATATCACTCCATGTCTCCCTACACCAACTAACTCAACTAGGAAGAATATTCTGACAGATTTTATGTTCACCAAATAGAACAGACTTGCAAATACAGAATGAATGTTAAACAGTCCACTCCCAACAATGAAATGAACTAACAAGTTAACAGTAATAATAATAGTGAATATTATTATTATGGCAGCCCTATTACTGTACTGGTACTTTATACCAGGCTCTGGGAATCAATATTAGCATTTTTATTAACAATATGGTCTTTTGGCTCAACTGCTGCTCTTTGTTTATCATCCTGTAGTGGCTTTCTACCAGCCACTCCTTGGAAGGAACATGGGGCAATCTACTTCCCTAGTGATACTGCCTTGGAAACCCAAGGAGGGGTCGCTATGAGTTGAGTCTGACTCGACTGCACATAACAACAACAACAACAGTGGCTTTCTACATCAGACCTCAATCTCTTAATCTGTCTCACAAACAAACAAACAAAACTTTTAAAATAAGAATTTAAAGCATTTAAGTTATTTCACTAATTCTCATCAACAAAGTTCTATCTTAAAAACAACAAAAATCCATACTCCCTCTTAATTACTTCCCCTTGTTCTCTGATTCCTTTCATAGCCACATTTCCTGGAAAAAAAGAAAAAATTGCTACACATAAGGTCTCCATCTCCTTGCGTGTAGTTCTTTCCTTATCACGCTAGAAACTGCTTTCCATCACCATCACTCCTCAAATGCTACTCTTACCAAGGTCACCAATGAATATCAAACCCAAAGAATATCTTTCAGTTATCCTTGCCAGAAGAATTCAATATAGTTGAAAAGTCCTTCCTTCTTTAAATATTCTCTTCTCTTGATTTTTGTAACACTGCACTATACTAGCTGCCTAGCTACTTCACTGGCAATTCTTCTCTGCCTCTTTGTTGCATGTTCTTCTTCTAAGTGGCTTTACATGGTGTATCCCTTGACTCGTCTTTTCATTTTCTCTGTACATTCTCCCCAGGTAGCCTTATCAGGTGACTCTTGAAATTTACTTAGTTATTTTACCAGGCCAGGCCTCTCTTCTGAGCTCTAGATTCACATGCCAACTACCTATTTGACATCTCAGCCAGACATCTCAAAGCTATTATATCCAAAACTGAAGCTTAGATCCTCTCCTGAAAATCCACTCCTTGCCCAACACAATAAATAGTCCATTAACCAGCCAGCTAATCAAGTTAAGACAACTGAAAATATGTTTCATTATGATTTTGGCCTCACCACTGATAACCTCTAAAATTTATCAAGAGTGAATCTATTCACTTCTCTCCATTCCAACATCACCACCATAGGCCAAGTCATCTCTCACTAGGACTAAATGGCCCCTTCACTGCTTTACTGAGCTCTCTGCTTTTACAAAGGTAGAAAAGGGGTGGGGGGAATCTGCACACCACAGTAGGGCAAAGAAGTTTGTATCAACCAAGACTAAATGAAGGGGGAAAAACGAGAGAGAGATGGCTATGGAAAATGGGAAGTCAAGTCCCGAGCCCAATGTGGATTTAGGCCCACATTTACAATTCAAGGTAATGTCTAAGAAGAAAAATTAACACAATTGGTTCTGGTTATTGCTTAGGTGCCTTTTCAAAACACAGGTGAAGAATGTATTTATTATGTTATGTTCTTTGTGTACAGACTTATGCAATAAATGAATCCTTAAATTCAGTCACAGGAAAACAAGTATCCAAAACGTCTTCCCTTGCCTCAGCTGGGATGCCTAACAGAAGCAAAGGCAAAACCACACTAGTGGAAAACTCAACAACCAGTCTTCAAAGAGTTTCCACAGAGGAAAAAAATCCCACTGAAGATAAACTCGAAATTAAAAGAAAAAAAATCACAAAACATGTGAAAAAACAATCTACCATAAGCAAGAGCCAAAGGAAACAACAAACCGAGCACCCCTGAGTACAGAAGTCAGTAGAGCAAAATTACCATTCAAAAGGCAATTTTTAAAGGAGTATGATTTAAATGACTAAAAAAAAAACAAAAGAAAGGCTAGAACTCATAAAGAACAAGACACAAGTAAAAATTAGATCAAGCAGATTTGAAAAAGAATAAAATAGGGCTTCTAAAAATGAAAACTACAGCCTTCAAAAATTACAAACTCAATAGATGGATTAAATAGCAATTTTTGACAGAGTTAAAGAGATAGGAAATTTCTGACGGATGTGAGAAAATTAGACTGGGGTGAGTGGAAGAAGAGTGAGGGACTGATGTTTATCATAAGCTTTCAGTACTCTTTGATCTGTTATTTAAATACATTTATTACTTTGAAAAACATAAGTTAAAAATTAAGAATGCTTATGTGTGTTTTAAGTCCAGAGGACTCAAACACAACCAACGATCAGGAAGATGGCAAAGGACTGGGCACTTACTTGTTCCATGTACCACTTTATTCCTCATTTTAAGTGACTTCTATTCTGATTTCAGTTTTGCTTTTTTCTATTTACATATGTTTATTTTTATAGTCCTTTGAAATTCTCTTTGGAAGAAAGTAAGAGTGAATCTACAGAATTCTTGCATATTAGATGTCAGAAATTATGGATTTGTGACTCCAAAAAAGGGATTAATTTTAAGTGTTAATATTGATTTAAGTGTTTCTCTAGAGCATGTATATTCTTTAAAAAGCTATTACATAGAGATTCATAAATAGGTATTTGAATTGATTCCACCTTTTATAAAACCTGTAAAATTGGAGGAGTTCTGGTTGAGAAAAGCTAAAGGCATGGGAGGTAAGAGACCTGCCCCAGGATCTGCGGGCTCTCCAGAGCTTCCTGAGCACAGCGGGAAAGCCACTGGTACAAACGATTCTCAGTTATCCAGTTAATAAGAAGTCTGATCATTCGGACCACAAGACGTGAGTCAAAATATTGCCACAGAAAATGGTAGGAAGAAATATCCACTTTCTTATTGCTATCTTTATAAACCTAGACTTATAAGGAGAATTCTGTGACGGTAAAGGAAATGAAAGAAAAGGTAGGTAAAACACAAGATACTGTTACTTAAGTTATAATTAATAGCATTGTTGCTGCTTTACCTTAAAGTCAAATAAAACAAAGCAATATAAACAGTAACAACTGACAATTAAGACTGTTTTCATTTAAAAAATACTATTCTAAATCTTAAAAGCAATTAGATAAAGATCAAATGAGCAGACTTTATTGCCTTACATTGTGGAGACGAGGCAGATATTGACATCTTGTGTACCGTTGAACTCTTTCACGATCCTGATTCGTTCCTCTGATTTTGTACTCCCATCAAGTCGTCGGAAATCGAGCCCAGCCGCCATGCAGTACTGCTGCAGCACATCGAGCAACTAGAAGAAAGGGAGAGAGACAGGCAAATACCAATTCTGGCCTGAATGTGCTTCATACTATTACAGAGATCAGGTCACTGTTGCTCACAATTACTTTCCTATAATTATAGGAGCAACAGATACAGTTTTCTCACTTCTGATCCATATGTTTCTCCTCATTATCCTGAAACTGATTTTAACTTTCAGCAACTTTTGCTTTAAAAACCAAAACAACCTTTCCAAAGGTGGGAGGGGGGTATCAATTTTTCATTTTCTTAAACTAAAAGAAACTATCAAAACCAGATGAAAAGAAAGTTATTGGCTAAATCATGTATAATTGTATTTTATTACTTGTGCTATTTTCTAAATTCTAAAATCTCTAAAATGTTTTACAGAACAGTTATTACTAACAAAAACACCAAGAGAAAATAAAAATGAATCTCTGAGTGTTCTATTTGACAGTAAGCATGGCATAAGCAAGATTTAAGTAACTCTTTTCAAACTTCATGTTGCCTATCTCACTACCAATTCCTACAGTGTGTATAAGACAGAAAATGTGGCTGGTAGCTGTTTATGTACCTTATACTTTATACCTCAGGACTTAGGGCGGGGGCCAATCAGGCATATACTTCAGACAAAACTCACCTTGGTGGAAAAAGAGAAAAGAAGAACTTTATCCTTGTTTTTTCTACAATGATTTAAAAGCTGCTGAAGGACCTGGAAATGAACCACAGAACATCAGAGAAGCTGTTCCAAATAAAAGCACACTTTAGATACAGAAAACATCACTTGAGAATTTCATAAAAATTAGTTTTATAAACACTAACCTCAGTCACCTCTCCTAATTCTCTTCATTTTGGCCAAGTTAGAGAAATAAAGTATTAAATATTACATCAAATGTTATTAACAATCATATTGTCAGTGAAGAGGTAAAGTTCCCAAAGACTTTTATTTCATCTCATCTGGTTTTAATAAAAAGGAAGCATTTAGATCATGGGATGCATTTAAATGGATTAATTTAATTTCCAAAATACATTTTCTTTATACCTACAATATGTTAAGATACTAAATTACAGAGCAGGATTCCTTTTAGGAAGTATTTAAATTTTCTCTAGATAGATGTAATGAAATGTGTTCAATTACATTGAGGTTCTAAAAGTCTTGATATTTATTTTTTTAAAAATAAGCAGTCAGATATACACCTCTTCTCACTTTCTCCCCTGTTTCTCTGTTTACAGTAAGCTCTGACATCCAGATTCAATTTCAATCTCAAAATGCCAATAATCTTTTCACACACATGATGTTTTCTGGGAGGAAGCAAATAATCCAGAGACTAGTGAATTAACAGTGATATGGTTTTTTAAATAAGCATTTCCACATCTGGCAATAACAGCTTTAGAAGACCATGGAAAAGCAATCCACAAAGGAAAAAAAGAACAATTTTCTGTGCTAAGTCTAAAGTTTTTCTGAGCTATGCAATAAACATTTAAGCAATTTTATTTACGTAAATGTAAATTTTAAGTAAGGAAAACTTATACTCAACATAACACTATCTTTAAGTTACACTAACTTTGACCTCTACTCTAAAAAAGCTATGAAATCTAAAAAATAAATTCTATTCTGATAGCCAATCAAAAGGTAAATACAAATATCACAGATCAGGTAAATTTAAATACTTGGAGAACATATAAAGTACGTTTATTTGTATTAGCCTTTTCTAAATAAAATAACTGATTCTATATGTAGATTTGTTTTTTTTTTTAGTTTTATATGAAGTATGTGCATTACAATTTCATATAAACCATTAACATTTTAAATCAAGGAGATATACAGAAACTCACTCTGATTGTTTAGAGTGGTATCAGACCTATTTGTGATTTTAAATATTCTTGAAGATTATACAGAAAAAAAAAGTGATAAGAAAAGGGAACTCTTTTAGACTGGAGGCATTTATTAGGGTCAATTTTTTAAAAATAGACTAACTCAATGAATAATTATACACTAATATCCCTTACCAGAAAACTTCAAAAATGACATTATAGATCTGAATCTTAACCTTATAGACCCAACATTTTATCAAAATAGTTGTCCTCTGCAGAACAGGAAAACCTACCTGTAAAGGAGTCCTAAATGTGGGGGTGTTCATAGCTAAGGAATCTCACCACTAATTTTCTCAAATTAGTCAGATAGCTCTAGAAAGATGATTTATGTGATTACAGCATCGCTGGATTTCCTAGTTGTTTTTTTCTTTCTTTCTTTCTTTTCCCTGACATCCAGTGACTCTGGCATTTACCAAGGGAAATAAAGTGAGGATTCTTAATAGGAGAATGAGAGCAATTTGTGACCATGCCCTGAAATGATAGCTGAAGTCAACAAAGACTTTGCTACTCGAGAAAAAGAGCTAGGATTCATCAGTGTAGCTTTGTGGCTGTGACAGTCAAAGAAGACACTATGCAGAGATTCCCTACAGCTCCAGGCTGGCCTTTAGGAAAGACCAGGATCTTTCATCACCTGAACTGAATTCAAGAAGTCCATGCAACTCAGTCATTTGGAACTCTTAACCTCATAGGCAATAATTGTATGATAATTTTATAGGTCCATCATCAGATCATGTTGTTAATCAAATGATAAAACACAGTCCTACAAATATATCCCTGACTTATTACTATAATTGTCCTGTTCATCAGTGCTATCACACAAAATTAATACATTACTTGCTTCTTTGACATAAAAACATACCTACTGTCTCCAGCTACAATTTATGTTTGCTTTTCCCTTCTAAAAATCATAACAAAAAGTAAATCTAATAATTATCTTAACCAGATACCATTATTCTCTGATATAGAACTCTAATTAAAAGTTTAAATCATATATTTAATAGATATGTAAGAAAATTAAGTGTATAATTACAAAATTCCACTTAATTTTAAGACTGTAATTTTTTAGTAAAGAGTCACAATGAGTACAGTTTAAATGAACAGCAATGGATAAGGCAATTTTTAATGGAGGTAATGATTTCTGGAAATATTTTATTGGCTTAAATTATAGAACAGTAAGGGCCCAGTTCTAAACTAATTGGGCTTTTTATACTTTTTAATTTTAAAATAATTAAATAAAAGTCAATAAAATGGATGATAAAAGGATTTACTATCCTTAGAAAAGTTTATTGGATTTAAATTATTTGTTGTGATAATAAATCATGTGATAGTCTCACAGACACAAATTTCTTTATTTAAGAAATGTACACACAGGTTTTTAAAACAATTCAGAGGTCTCAAGTAATTTAAACTACAGTGAGCTTATATAGTATAACTGTTAAAAATATTTCCAGAATATTGAGAGAAAAAAAAAAATTGATTACTTTGAATTACTTTCTTATTCCATCTGCCAAAAGAAATAACTTACCTTTTTCTTATTTATAACTTAAAGTTGGGATTGTTCTGTAAAAAATCTTTAAATCCAAAAATAAAGATTCTTGATAGTTTGTAAGGCGTTAAGCAAACTAATTCTGTTTCGAGGAGGCTGGAAGTTGTTAGCATTTTATGCCTCTTGTCCAGGGCAATGCCCAGAGGCGCAGGTCTTGGTTAGAAAATCTAGCCTTACTTTTCACACTCCCTCCTCAGTAATGCATCACTAAGAATAGCACACCTACAGGTCAGTTTCCCTGTATAAAACAAATGTTCCCTTGCCATCAGTGTGAAGATTTAGTAACTTTACAATCTGGATTGGCAAGTAAAAACAAGAGGCAGAAAATTCAGTCTAGACACAGAGGCCTTGTCAACCTTTAACTCATCAAGAAATTGATTTCTCCAATTCCAAGCTAAAACCTACTCCTATTCTTCCACTTAGCATTATCATTGGGAGCTCTGGTAGCGTAGTGCTTAAGGCACTTGACTGCTAACCAGAAAGCTGGCAGTTCAAACCCACCAGCTACTCCTTGGAAGGATGGTTGGGCAATTTACTTCCATAGTGATACCACCTCGGAAACCCAAGGAGCGATGGCACATAACAACAACAACATTAGCATTTATACTTCTTGAAGGTATCTCCTTGAACATGTGAGGTCAAGCTATTATAAACGTGGTAACAACATACATTTTGACAGGGCATGAATTGATTACACAAATAGGAAAACTTCAAGTACATATGATGCAACTACTACTAACTAAGAACTTGCATGTGCACTTATCTTTATGCAGGGTTGACAGTAAACTAGCAAATGCTGACACAACCCCAGCAAGTGTCTTTGGCCACCCTCTCTTCTCATTGATTGGCCATTTATTTGATAAATATTTTGGATATTGTCTCTGGCTGTATGCAACCTGAAAGAAAAGCACTTACCTTCATTTTTCCACTGTATTTTGGGTCAGAAATTGTTTCAAAGGCTGCATCTTTGCTTTTCTGAATGAAGTCTGGGAATCTGGAAAATACTTGATCACATATCCTGTTGATAAGTGTTTTCTTGAGGGAAGAACATAGAAGAAAAGAGATATCAACTTAAAACATGTAAAACTATATAAATTAAAATTGTGGGGAAAAATGTATTTATATTTAAAAAGAATATATTATAGCTAACCATTGAACAACACAGGCTTGAAGTGTGTGAGTCCACTTATATGTGGATATTTTTCAAGGATTGGTACCATATAGAAACATTTTTGGAGAAAGGAAAAAGCAAAAAAGTCATGCAGAAATTATATTTCTGTAAGTTACACCAAATGGGCCTGCCTCTCTTGCCTCTGCTTCTCCTTCCTCACCTCTTCCACCTCTGCCATCCTCTGCACAACCAGCCAATCCTCCTCCTCAGCCTACCCAACGTGTAGATGATGTGGGTGAAGATCTTTATGATAATCCACCTCCACTTAATGAACAGTAAACGATCATCAAGCCACGCAGCTAATAAACTTATCTCTTTTATGTATGTGTGAGTGTCCCATGCGAAGATATGAAGATACACTAAATGTAAAGCAAGAAGTGTGTTAATCAACTGTTTATGTTATTGGTAAGGCTTCCAGTCAATTGTAGGCCATTAGGAGTTAAGTTTTTTTTAGGGTCAAGAGTTATACGTGGACTTTCAACTGCACAAGGGGTTGGCACCCCAAGCCCCACATTGTTCAAGGGTCAACTGTAATTTGTTTTGTCTTTTTCTAAGTCAGATTAAAATTCAGATAACCTTCAAATGATATGTTAAGCATACATGGCATTGCCAAAATGTTAGATATTTATGTGACTACTAATTTTATTACTTTTTTAAGATTTCCAAACCAAGAATCCAAATACTCTCAAAACAGCAAACAATATCATCAAAAAACAATGCTATATTATTAGCTTTCAAAATTACATTCACACAGCATCAAACTATAACACAATGATAATACAAAATAATTAAATAAAAAGGTATTTAGAAAAAATCTGTTATTTATGTTATGTTCTAGCATAAGAAACAACTGAAAATGACCAAAGTAATTCCATTCATGGCTAACTTCTCAATGACTGATTTTTGCCAGTTTGATGAATACCACTAATATTTATTAAAAATCCTCATTTTAATCCAGAAGTTTAGATACATGTAATTACACACATTATTAGTGGAATATGACTGACTCATCAAATCTTATTTAGTAGCTACATGAAAGAAGATAATAGAAAATAAATATATGAATATTATTAGAGGCATAACTTGGTGGCATAGTGCCTAAGGCATTTGACTGCAACCAGAAGGCTGGTGGTTCAAACCCACCAGCCACTCCTCGGAAGGAAGATGGGGCAATCTACTTCCGTAGAGATACTGCCTCGGAAACCCAAGGAGGGGTTGCTATGAGTCGGACCTGACTTGACAGCAGTGAGTTTGGTTTGGTTTTAACCAAAACCCAAACAACCACCAAAAAAACCCCATTGCCATCAAGTTGATTCTGACTCATTGTGACCCTATAGACCTTGTAGGAGAATGCAGAACTGTCCCATAGGGTTTTCAAGGTGTAAATCTTTACGGAAGCAGACTGCCTCAGCTTTCTCCTGCAGAGCTGCCAGTGGGTTCAAACTATGACCTTTTGGTTAGCAGCCCAAAGCTTAACTACTGTGCCACTAGAGCGTGTAGAGGCATGACAGAAAGCTCTTATTTTAATTAAAACTTAGTTTTTTTCACTCTGATTAAAAGTTAAGTATGTACACTAGTTGAGACCTAAGGAGGAAGTCTACAGGAGGATGTAACATGGAGGACTAGGAAGCTACATAATCCAGACTCTTTACAATAAAGACTCAAGAAACCAAATGAAACAGATATTAAATAACAATCCTACAACCTAGAACTTCAAAGGAAAGGCTAAAGAAGTAGATCAGACATCGATTAGAGGAAGAAAATGAATGAAAACAGCAAACAAGGAGACATACAGAATACTGAACTGCCAACCAGGATAGCACAATCATTCTGAATTACTGCAAGCAATATTCCCACTGGCACAAGAATCAGATAGCCAGCTCCGCTTGCCCAGGACTGCACCAGCACCCACATTAGTGATCAGTGTCTGGAAAGATTCACACCTCTGTCCTCTTTACCCTGTACAACCTGCCAGTGACTAGAGGCATGGTCCTCCACCCCAACCCACTCAGTGGCTGGTCAAAACTTCCCCCCACACCAGTGCTATGCTGCTTTTTTTTTCTTTTCTGTTTTATGTTTCATCTTAGGTCTTCCTTTTTCACCTCTTTTCTTTTCTTCCTCTTCCATACCCCTTTTTAAACTATTTTATTTGATCCCCTGGAGCATGAGCCCAGCCCCTGCTGCCTCTGCAGGCAGCAGAGCCCACCCTCCACTCTCCCTAGTCAGCAGTGCAAGTTCCTGCTGCAGCTATGGCTGGCAGTAAGCACTTTCATCAGTACTGTTATTTTACTTTTCTTTCTTCTTAGTTCTTTCCTCTTCTCCCCTTTTTTCCTGTCTGCCTCTTCTCTCCTTTGTTTTTTATTTTGATCCTGCGGACCAGGTGTCTGCCCCCCATGGACCCAGCAGTAGACAGTGCCCATCCCCATCCTTCCACAGAGAGCGGTGCATGCTCCCACAGATGCAGCTCACTGTTCCTGCTGTAGCCACTTTTAGTGCTTAATACTTGCACCAGTACTGTGTCACTTTTCTGTTTTGTTTTCCTTTATTTTATCTTCATAATTCTTTCTTCCTCATCATTTTTTGTCTTCTTTTATTTGTTGCTGCTCTTTCCCTCAATATTTTTCTTTTCTTTTGACCTTGTGGAGAGGGTGTCCTGATTGCTGCCACCTCCACATTCATCAGCGCCTGCCCCAGCCCCTCTGAGACTGGCAGTGCACTCACCAAGGGAGCAAGCACCATATCCCCACCACAGCCATGTGGCTAGTGCTTGTGCCAAACTGCTGCTTTTGTTTCCCCTTCTTCTCTTCTTTCTTCTTAGATCTTTCCCCTCTCCCTCCCTCCCTTGTTTTTGTTCTTCCTCCCCCCCACACACACCTTTTATTTTTTTCCCAAGCATTTGAGAGCCAGACCTATCGAGTCATACCTACCACACCTGCCACCCAACCTGCTAGGCAAGTGCTACCACCCACTCCAGCACCACTGGATCAACAAAGACGGTGGACAACACCAGCCCATTCTACCCTCAGCTGCTCTACATGACCAGCAATCAGAGTACTCCTGGCCACAATCTCACCCTCTACCAAATCTGCCAGATACAGGTGTGAGCACCCCAGTGTTGCCAAACCAGGGACCAGAGTAACATGGCCATTACATTGTCTACATATGTTAAAACAAAACAAAACAATCAGAGTGAAGCAAAACAACATAATACCCAAACCCACCACAATCAAGTTGATTCCAACTCTTAGCAACACAATAGGACCGAGTAGAACTGCCCCATAGGGTTTCCAAGGCTGTAAGTCTTCACAGATGCAGACTGCTTCATCTTTCTCTGTGGAGCAGCTGGTAGGTTTGAACTGTTAAACTTTTTGGTTACCAGCTGACAACATACAATCAAGAAATAAATACAATAATGCCAGAATGTCTCAGGGACTACAGAAAATTTCAAGTCACACACAAAGACAGGACAAGATGGCTCAATTAAGTGACCAAAATACAGGGTCAGAAAATCTTCCAGAGGAAGAAATGGTACGTACCTGATAATGAATTCAAAAGAATTATATTTAGGTACCTTCAACAGATTAAGAGAAAGATAAAGGAAACCACAGACAAAATCAAGGAACATATGCACAAAATTCTTTAAGAGTTCAAAGAAATAATAAAAGAATAAATTGACAAAATAAAAGGAAAACTAGAAACCATACAAAAAACAACAAATAGAAATTCAGAAGAATAATACTAAAATTTCAGAAATAGATAAGGAATTGGAAGGGCAAACAAATAGAACTGGATCAATGGAAGACAGAATTTGCAAAATTAATGATAAATCTCTTAATACTAATCCATTAGAGGAACAATAAGAAAAAAAGAATGGGAAAAAATGAAAGAAGAAAGGCCAAGAATTATGTGGAAAACCATCAAGAGGAATACCTTATATGTGATAGAAATTTCAGAACAGGAAGAGAAAAAAAAAAAAAAAAGCACCAAAAAATTGTCAAAGATTTTTTTGGAAGAAAACTTCCATAATGAGAAGATAAGCATTCAAGAAGCTCAACAAACCCCAAACAGGACAGACTCTAAAAGAACATTATTAAGGCATATCATAATCAAGCTTTTCAAAACCAAACACAAAGAAAAAATCCAGAAAGCACCTTGAGAAAAATTAAAAATAACCCACAAAGGAGAACCAATAAGACTAAGCTCTGATATCTCAGCAGATGCCATCCACTTTACAAGAGACACACCTTAGATACAAATGCAAAAATAAACTAAAAATCAAAGGAAGGAAAAACAAATACCATGCAAATGGCAACCAAAAAAGGCCAGGAGTGGCGATATTAATTTCTGATAAAATAGACATTAAGACAAAATCCAGCAAAAGAGACAAAGAAGGAAATTAAATATCGATTAAAAGGTCAATCTAACAAGAAGACATAACCATACTAAATATCTATGTACCCAGTGAAACAGCCTAAAAGCACATAAATCAAATTTTAACAGAACTGAAAAGAGAAATGGACAAGTCCACAATAATAGGAGACTTTAATACATCACTTTTGATGAAGGACAGATGCCAAAGGGTCAAGGAGGCCACATCTTCCGACCTCCTCTAGCCACACAGGAGGAAGGCAGAATCACCATCATTAGCCCAAGGCCTATTCCTGTGAGGTCAGACATGCTGCCTCCCTCTAGCCCTTTCATCAACCTCGACACCAACTGTTCCTCCCGCAACACCCACCACCTTTCTACTGGGTTCGATAATTCGCTGCAGTGGTCACACAGAACTCACAGATTATGGGATTTATTAAGGAAGCACCAGGCTAAAATTTAAGTTCAGGGACAACACTCAGTCTCTCTCAGCCCG